AGATTTGGGCCTGGCCCGGCGGGTAAAAAAAGCAAAAAAATCAACCTGGGACCAGCCCGACAGGGCTAAGGGTCCGGGACATGATCGGTTCTGGGCCAATTTCGGGTCGGGTCGACTGACAATCTCTATTTGGGGGTAATGAGAGGTTAAATCTCATAAAAGGGCGCTCAAAGGAAAATGAGTTATACTGAAAGAAATTAGAATAAATGTAAGCCTTTAGATCTAGCAAACTAGAATCCAAGTTAGTAATTAAAATCAAACTTATTAATGGTAATTTCATTATTTGACACTCTATGAGGGTATTTTGGTCATTAACAATAAATCCTAATCACTAATGTGCCCTACCACAATCACCAAGCCTAAATCTCTCTCTCTCTCTCTCTCTCTCTCTCTCTCTCTCTCTCTCTCTCTCTCTCGCACAATCACACACACTAATTTCACGCCACACACACACACATACATGCAATACACACACTACATCAAGTACGCCTGTCAAATCCATCGGTACAATCGCCGCCGCAACAGTCTCCCGGACTTTCGGCGGACAAGGCCGTCAGCACCACAGAGGAGAAATATACAATTGTCGATTGTGAGTCGTCGGGGGTTATATTCCGGCAGCAGAGGTGGAGGAGGATGAATGATGGAGATATGGGGTCGACGGAGAGGTGGTAGCGGTCGGGCGTTAAGGAAGGAGCGAGAGGCGAAAGATGATGGCAAGTAAAGTGTCTTCAAGCGCCCTGTCTCAGACGCTAAATGTCGGCGACCTGGTGGGAGAAGGTGCACGCGGATAGAGGGCGGATGGCGGCGGTCAAAGGATGGCGACCGGAGGGCGTCGGTCAAGGGGTAGAGGGCTGACGAAAATTTTATTTTTTTTTTTTTTTTGAGAATTTAACAAGTCATAAGGGCTTTGATGCAATTTTAAAATTTTTATTTTTTTGGATTTTAATATATGTGGCATTCTTGTAATTTATTAAAAGTTTAATAAGTGCACATGAATGATACAAAAAAAATGTACAATATTGTGGGTTAAAATGCACATTAAAAATCACATCATAATTTTATTAAACTATAAATTTTGTACCATTTATCGTTCGGTCAGTTTGGTTGTTTCGGTCGTTTTAAATTATAGCGTCTCCATAGAATCGAAATATTCTATATTTTAGAAGTAAAAAAATACATAATTAAATTGAAATATAAATAATTCGAACCGAAAAATCTTAGTTCGGTCGTTCTCGGTCACTAGTGTGCAGTCTGATAGACATTAATGTGCAACTTGTCTAACACGATTGTGCATGGTCTCGATTGCTTTTGTGCATTATAATCTGACCAAACTTTTTATCTCAAAGTAATTTAAAACTAATATGAATTATTTGTTGTATTCGACCGGTTAACCGTATAACTCCAAATAATCAAACTAATTTATTATTTATATTAATATTATATTAGTATTTTAATAATTTAGTTTAATAATTTTATATTATTTTTTGGTTGAAAAAACATAATATATGAAATCCTGAAATTTATGTTGTGCATTCTCACATACAATAATGTGCATTTAGTCTAACATTATTGTGCGTGTATGTTTTTACTGCGTTACATTTTTAGAAAAATTAATAACGTGTACTTCAATTAATATGAAAAATATATTCATATTAATAATGTGTATGTTTCTAACATTATTGTGCACTTATCGAATTATTTATAAAATAAAAATATATTTAGTATTTATAATTTTATTTAGTATTCTATATTTTTATATTATTGTTTGTTGAAAATAATTAATATACATATAAGTTGGTCGGTTATGTTATTATTATTATTATTTTTTGATAGGGAAACGTGTAAAGATCGCATCACCATACAACCGATCAAGCAAATCATCTATGCGAGGAATAGGAAACCGATAACGTACCGTGATTTTGTTAATAGCCCGGCTGTCCACACACATCCGCCACGAGCTGTCTTTCTTAGGGATAAGCAAAGCCGGGACAGTGCACGGACTCAAGCTTAGATGTATATTACTTCCGGTCGATTGCTTCCCACCCTACCCCACCCCCACACTCTCTTTCACACACACATGCACACACAGAACACAAACACACACACAAATACACACACAGTCGAGCACCGACTCCCGTTGGCTTACTTTCGGTCGCCGACCACATACACACACACACACACGAACATACAAAAACACACACACACACACACACTGTCCAATTGGCTGAAAACCCCGACCACCGTCATGGATGTCCGCCACCAGCCACCGTCCACTCTTCCCGATGTCGCAATGTCATCGTCTTCGGTCACATCGACGTCAAAGACCGCACCCCATGTCGACTGGCACGACACGATGCTAATCGCCCGGAGGCTGGAGGGTCGATCTCGCTGGCGAGCACGACGCCAACGGCCGCACGTCCTTGCACCTGACGACCGACAGGGAACACGTCAGCGTTGTCGCAGAGCTCCAGTCGTATCTGTCTTCAATTTGTAGAGGGCATAAGTTTGTAAATTAGATTATTTAGTCGATTGGTCAACTTTGTAATTTATAAAAATATACAAAAAATAATATTTTCTTATATATACTTCTTACATGTATATAAAATATGTATTTTCAACCAAGAATAATATGAAAATATTAAATAAAAATGTAGAAATATTAAATATATTTATTATAATATAAAAAATAAAGTACTTTGATTATTTAGATGAATCGGTTAGCTCAACCCAGTTTTAGTTTGGATTTGCTCATGAAGAAAACACACACTGCAGAACACACAAACAGTTTTAAACGAGATGCACATCAGTGACTTTCGAATTGCACAATAGTATTTATTTTTATCTTTTATCTTTTATATATATATATTATTTATTTTCATCAAACAATAATATAAAATATTAAATAAAAATTTGTTAATACTAAATATATTTTTATTATATAAATCATTTGATAAATAAAAAATAAACTTAATTGAAATACACATTATTAAAGTTTATAAAATTGAAATGCACATAAAAAATACCCGATCAATAGACTACTAATGTTAGACAAAGTGCATATTATTGTATGCGGGGATGCACATTATTGATTTTGATATTTTATTATTATATCTTTTCAACATAAAATATTAAATATAATTATTAAAATACTAAATATATTTATATAGTATAAATAATAAATTATTATGATTATATAAGGTAACTCGGTTAACCGATCGAATGAACCGGTTAGTTTAATTCACTTTTAGTTTGGATTATGATAAATAATTAAAAAAATATATGCACTTTGTGTGCACATTAATGTTAGACGTATTGCACATTATTGGCTAGCACATTGCACTATAGCGATCGAACTCAACGGAACTAAATTTTTGCGTACGAATTTTATATTTTGGTTTGATTTCTTATTTGTTAATTTCAAAATTTTTATATTCTCGGTTCGGTGTCGGCTTTATTTTTTTATTTTTTAAATAAGAGAACAGACAAAATTATATAAAAATAATATTTTTTGTTCTATAATAAAAGATCATAAATAAGTTCTCAATGATTATCTAATTTCTTAAAGAAATCCCCCAAAATCAGTGTTGAGATTCTAAAAAAACAATTTGTTTCCTCAATCTTTTCGGCCGTTGCCGGTGACCCCATTCTCAAGTGTTATCCCTCTTTGTCGCTGGTGTCGCTGGAGGCGTTGACGGATTTAGTTAATATAAAAAATAAATTATTTATATTTATATTTTTATAATAATAAATTATTTCGACTATTTAGGATAATTGGGTTAACCAATCGAATATACCAATTATTTCGATTCCGTTTTAATTTGATTTGGCACAACTCATTAAAAATGTCTGTGTTGCAATTGCACAATAGTGTTAGAAAAATTAATGACTATCAGATTGCACTATAGCGACAGACTCCGACCGAACTAAAATTTTTGGTTCGAAAAATTACATTTCGATCCATTATCTGTTTTAGTTTTTAAATCTTAGTTATTTCAGTTCGATATCGGCTTTATTTTTTTAAATGACCGAAACAACTGAACCGATCGAAATATATAATTATAATTATTATTATTATTATTTATATTTTTATGTAAAAATATTATTTATTTTTAGCCAAAAAATATAAAATATTAATTATTAAACAAAAGAACTAAAATACTAAGCATGTTTTGATTAATTACACATCTGATCCATGAACTAAATTGTAATACCAAAATTTATAAATTTGCAATTAAGTCCTTATATCTTATCAAAATTATCAAAAACAAACCCCCTATCACAACATTTGTTCCGGCTGCCCCCAAGCCGTGTACGTCGCTGTTGCCGTCGCCTGATAACCACTTGGCCGTCGTACATCACAGTTGTTGTAGTTATTTTTACCGGAGTTAAACCAAATGATTCAATCCCCGGGTCGTCTCTCAAGGAAGGTCAGCCGGATTATTTGTACGGATATTCAATCACACGAAAAAGAAAATAATTTTCTTAAACACTCTAATTCAATGATTTGGGTTTTCAATTATCAACTAATAATTCTCAAACAGCGCAAATAAACAATTATCAATACTTAAAACGAGTTTCTTCTACGTACGAAAGGCTAGGGAATCGGGGGTGATTATACTCAAATCAAATTCAAACACCAAGCAAAAATCGTTCGGCTAAATGATTCAATCAACCTACATATCTAGAAATTATTCCTCAATAACTTCTCGTAACAAGAGGAAAAATATAGACGGCAAATCAAACCAATCAAATTAACACGTAGGCAATACAATTACGAACAAGCCTACTCTAGTCGAGCCTGGATCGACCGACTTCCCCCCTTTCGATTTTACAAGTCGATTAATTAGATCAGAATGGTGATCAAGCATCTAACCCTAGGTTTAAATCAACTTGAAAAGATTGAACGAAATTCACAGGCAAGATAAGCACACGAGTAAGAGTAATCACCCCCTATCCCTAGCTTAAGAATTTAGCCACTCATGCCAAGATGAACACAAGACATAGTATAAAGTAAATACTCCAAACTCATAATCAAAATGAGAAGAAAGCTTATGATAAATAAAAGTCAAGTGTTGAATCTCAAGCACAATCCAAATTCACGATGAAATTCCTTAGGTGTCACTCCCAAAAATCTCAAAATAAGCTAAAGATAAAAGGAACAAGTTTTTCGTCTGATAAAACGAGAGAAAAATGAAAAGTGCAGAATGCTCTCTAAACCCTCGCTCGATCCTACTTAAACGCAAAACATATTTCGAATTTTAAAAGGTTCAGCGTCGCGGCGCGCCGCGGCGCGATAGAGGGGCTCGCGGCGTGGGAGAAAGGAAGTGCAGCGGCGCGTCGATCCTCGCGGCATGGGAGATGAAGAAGCGGCTTTTCTGTACAGCCGTTAAGATCGTCGTGGCGTGGGAGGATGGAAGTGCAGCGGCGCGTAGGTCTTCGCGGCGTGGCGACTGAAAAAGTTCTTCTGAAGGTCCGCTAAGGGCGTCACGTGAAGAGTCGCGCCGTGAAGGGAGTGAAGTGCCGCGGCGCGAGACTCGCTGCGGCGTGGCAGCTGCAAAACATTCTCAGGGTGTTCACTTGAAAAATCTGGACAGGGGCATGCACTTTGTAAAACGGGATAGCTCGACTGGATAAGCTCTAAACATTAGTCAACGATCCAAACCTGCACACCTTCAAGAACAAGAAAATACCCGAAAAACAGAGAAAACAACCGAATATACGAAAATAAAGACATAACGACAACTACACAAAACCAACAACTCGAGGACCGAAAATCCTATCAAAAGACCTAAACCGAGGGCTAAAAACCTATAAACCAATAAAGAAAAAGATAACAAAAATAGGACAAACAACAATCTTGCCGAGCTGGTGAATTTGTCCAAGGTTGGTTTGTAGATAAAAAAAGCCCCGTCTCATACATGATTTCTGAACTTTGGGAAGAGACAGTGGGACAGAGGCGGCATGTGACCAGAGCTTGACGGGTTGGCGGTGGCTGACTGTGACGGAGGTTGGTCTGGCAATGATATCTGTATTTGTGGTGGCGATCGACGACATTGATTGTGTGTGTGTGTGTGTGTGCGTTATGTGTGTGCGCGACGTTTTGCTTGTGTGTGTGGAGGGGCTAGTGAGTTGTGCATCTTGACGTGATGGCGGTCTACGAAGGTGCGGCGGCAGGGGCTAGAGGGGGTAGACGGTGATGCTGGTGGCCGACCGGTGACCATTTTTCTTTAGTGCGTGTGGGTGTGTGTTTGAATTGTGTGTATGCACTGTCTGAACTGTGTGTGAAGGGGGGAGAGAGGTGACGTGTTTTTATGATGAATGAGGTGGGGTGGGTCCCACTGGTAAATGAAATTATGACTAATAACATATTTACCCTTAATGAGTGGTCAAATTAATACATATGTTTGACCACAAAATGTCTACATATTTACCAAATTGTCATCTCATGTTTACTGCATTATTAATGTTTGACCTGATCATGATCAAGTATTTGATGGATTCAATGGTCTAGAATTATTCTTATTTATTTCACTATCTACCATTCTCATTTAATCCAAATTCTATTTATATATATATTGAGTGTGATTTTATTTTATCATATTTTTTTAAGAAAAGGAAAAAAAAATATATATACAGGAGGAGAGGGAGAGAGTTGAGAGTTGGGGAGAGAGAAAAGAGGGAGAAGACAGGGTGGAGAGTGTGTAGTGCTCTTTCTATAGTCAAGCAGCTGTCATTCATTTGGCGCACACAAACCCCCAAAAATCCTTACCTCTTTCATCATTCCCTTCAAAGTTCAATCTTCCAACTGTCCCTCTCTCCGTTTCTCTCTCTTATCACCCATCACGACCACCGGCCGGCGGCGTACGTTAAGAAGGATGAATGTAATTTAATGTAATGTAGGAGGATATCGATCGATCGATCAATTGCCAAACGATCGATGGCCCATCAGCATCAGCATCAGCATCAACAGTGGGGAGACACGAGCTTAACAAAGGTGTTCGTGGGCGGCCTCGCCTGGGAAACTCCTACTCACCTCATGCGCTCCTATTTCGACCAGTTTGGAGATATTCTCGAGGCCGTCATCATCAACGACAAGCACACCGGAAAATCCAAGGGATATGGATTTGTATGTATACACACAAATCATTTTCATCACTATTTATTATATTCATTTTTATATTTCTCTCTCGCTTATGTTTTTCAATTAACAGGTGACATATAAAGATCCAGAATCTGCTAGAAGAGCCTGCGCCGATCCCAACCCTGTGATTGCTGGAAGAAGAGCCAATTGTAACATTGCCTCTTTTGGACGACCGAGACCCAGACCTTCTCTCCCAATAGGTGATCTGCTGCTGTTTTTTTTTTTTAATTCAAAATTAACATTTTGCATTTATTTAATTGAATTAATTTAATTTAATTTAATTTCCAAGGTAGTGGATCACCGGCACAGGCTGCGCCTGCGCCACCGTTGTACCGCCAGCCGCCACCGTCTCTGCCGCCTGTGATTTATCCACCATATGGGTATGTTTTACTTTAGTTGCCGTTTTTAATGCCTATCTGTCAATATTTATATGGGCCACCAGCCTGCCAATATGCAATAAAAAAATATATATGCCAGCCGAGTTTTAGTACTTGTGTATGTATATTATATTGTATGTTGTCCCAATTATTTTTTTTTTTTTTAAATTTCTAAAATTAAGACAGGGAAATGAGATGAAATGAGAGGAGAGATGATAAAAGTGAATAGGTGGTCATGTTAAATTCTATTTAATGCAGCAGCTATAGGGGGCAGATGACGTATAAATAAATAATTTAATTGAGGATATATAAATGATTGATAATTGTCAGTGAGCTGCAGCAATGGTTACTGCTTTATTGACCTGCAATAGAAATTGAATAACTGGGAAAAATGAATAAAAAGTTAACCAAAGGAGAAATTAAAGAGGTTGACATGGTTATATTTTATGGAATAATGAAAAAAATTCATGGGCAGCTTTTTTATCTTTGCCAAACATTATATACGTTTTGGGTTAGCTTTGCCGAGCTGATTTGGATGAAATGACAAAACTCAGTTGACATTTTTATATAAACCAGTAACGTCACAATATATATTACCCCTAATATTTACGCCGTAATACTTTTTCAATACATATATATATATATTCTTAAATTAAACTATTATATTCTAAATATAATTTCATAATTAAAATATATATAACATTTCATAGTAGAAGTTTGCATTTTTGTTAGAAAAATACAACAGGTCAAACAGTTAGGTCCCTCAAACAAGATATTGGGTATATAAAATTAATGTTTTGGTAACTTAATCTATATATATATATATATATATATATATATATATAAAGAGGAGCAATAAAACATTAAATTATATTATCATGCATTAAATTTTATTCTCCCTCCAAAATTTCAACATTAAATTTCATTTTTAAGTTATCATGTATTAAATTTTATTCTCTCTCCAAAATTTTCAACATTCAATTTCATTTTTAAGTTACAAAATAACTTGCTTGAATGTCATAAATTATGAGCATAAACCAATCAAGGGAGTTACAAAACTGTATTCAAATTTTAAATCACACCCACTCATGATAACGATTCAAGAAGTTCGTTTTATCAAAATCAATTTTGAGAATTATTTTCTTAATTCATATTTTTTTTCATGAATTAAATTATGATTTATTTTTGTTTTTTTATATTGTTATCTTTTTAAAGTATTCTTCTATGTGTAAATGCACATGTTGATTACTAGTTTATTAGAATAACTGTTAAACATTAAACATTAACTTAATTCCCAATACACATAGTTAAGCATTAACTTATTTCCAAAAATAATTTACATGAGAATTTAATAAGAAAAATGATGATATATATTTACTAACAAAAATAATATACAATGCGTGTTTTTTCTTAAATATAAAATAAAATATAAATTATTTCTTTAAGAAAATAAAATGTGTTTTTATAGAAATGATGAAAAGAATTATTTTCTCCAACAGCTATTAGTTGTTCTGAAAAAGCTAGATTTTTTAAAGCTCGGAATCAATTGTTCAGGAAAAGACTAGCTTTTTTCTTTTTCTTTTAAATAGCTCCTTTTATGAGATCGGGGGTTGTTGCCAAACAAGCATGGAAAATTCAACCAAATACTATGTTTGGTTTTGTTTGGATTTTTTAATTTTAATTTGGTTAATTTTGAAAAAGGAGGTATGGTTAGTTGTTAGTGGATATATTAAAATAATATTTTAAATAAAATAATTAAAATTGATTTGATATAAAAGTAGGAGAGAGAGAGATTTGAAGTGATGGTTAGTTAAAATAATGTGAGTGAATGAATAGTGAATTAAGGTTGATGTGGTGTGTATGAATGATTGATTGATATTATTTAATTATATTGATAATTTTGATGATAGTGGGGTTGAGTTAAAGTTGAGTTAAAAAAAGTGATTGAGTTAAAATGTTGGAATTTTTTTAAAAAGTTCCATAAACAAACATGCTCTAAATGTTTGGTATAAATATTGAGTTGAGAAATTTCTTCTTAATCAATCATAACTGTTACTACTTACTAATTTTGGTCGAGTGGAACAAGGATATAAAATATATAAGTATCAAATATTTTGGATTATAATTAATTACATAGGATATGTATTTTTGTTATAAAATTATTATGGGTCGACTCGCCTAATGATTAGATTGCCTCACACAAGAATTTATAAAAATATCTAGATAAATTACTATTGTTGTATCGCATTAATTAGTATACTAATAGCATCATACTTTTATTTATTTTATTTATCAGAGTGCTACTTTTATTTGAAATAGGTGTATTCATTGAAAAAAATATGACAATATAACTATGAAATATGTATAGGTGAAATGAGATACTTAATGAAACCAATGACGTAGGTTCATTATGGGAATTCGATGACAAGAAGTACCCAAAATTTATTGAAGGTAAAAACAAAGATAAAATGGTATGAGATGAATTAATTTGTCTGAATAACTTTTATTTTGTCTATTCTTATGTTCTAAACCAAAACATAGTAGATAATATAATAGCAACTAATAGACGTGATCACAACATAATTTAGCATTTAGCAACGTGTCTCTATACAAGTGGTTGTAGACTTGTGGTACAATTTGTGAACTCATACACCAACGTTAGGGCTAAAATAACGAACGCGTCCATGTAAATATCATCCAATTGTTGCATAATATATTGATTACTTTATTTTAATTAAGCATTAAAAAATTTATTGTTACGTTATTAGTTTTATCATACCCATTCAAGTAATAATGGTATTCATAGAATTTATTATTCTATTGTTCAGGTATACAGCTTTCCCACCGGGTTATGGTTACCAACAGGTTAGTCTCACTCTTTTTAATAATAATAATAATAATAATAATAATAATAATAATAATAATAACAATAATTTCCCATAAAAAAAGGGATATTAATCTAAAGAAAAGTGCGTCTACTGTTAATAACTTACATTCCATCTTGTCAAAGACAGTTGTGACTATTCTCTTATTCAATTATTGAATCATTACCGTCACACCACAACCCTTTAATATCTTCCTATTTATTTAACGTATAACCATACATTTTTTGTAATATCTAGTTATATGTTGGATATAATATCTTGAGGAATAGTACATTATTATAAATCCATCTCACTATATTGTATTTTGAGTTGTCATATAATTATCGTGGTATCTATCCAGTTAAGCACTCATCATGTAACTATTGTTTGGACTTACTATTTAATTTAGTGCATGCTTGTAATGCAAAATATACCTAAATTATTGCAGAAACTAATAATAATGATAATTATATATATATATATAATAAAAAAATGTTCACTGTTGTGTGTATAATTTGGCAGACACAATATTACAACCAGCAGGTTTACGGGGCTCCTTTTTCACCTAATGCGGGTGCTCCATATTATTACGGGTACTCCATTCACGGGCCCAACCATAGGAGTACATTTCCCATTGTACCCCCGGCGCAACGTATTCAAGGACCATCTTATCTTTACTATCCTGAGCCCGCCACGTCATCCTTTGCTCCGCGACCCCACTTTCTGCCGGGCCCACCTCCAATGCAGCCTTTTCCACGTAACTCTCTCATACTTCTCATTTAAATTATATTTTCCTAGTTGTCATTCAAAAAATAGATTATATTTATATATCAATTATATAAAAGAAGAATTGATTATCATACGCATCAATTAGTACCTGACCTGACTTGTAGAATAAAGCATCGTGGGGACATGTGATCATGATTAGTAATGCATATATTAACATTTTTATTAAATTGATGTTTGTCTATGATTTCTCAAGTTATAAATCACATCCATAGCATATCCCTTTCTCTATATAGATTCAGAATTTCTTGGTGTTCAAATTATAGACACTTGGCAATTTAAATTGAAAATATTTTTTTATTTGTTATCAATTTTTAAAGATGATATATCAAGTTAATCATATCTTCCTTTATGCATAAAAATATTTGAATTCTAATTGAAAAATAATAAAATTAGCATAGATGAATTACAATAAAGTTATATATGTAAAACATATAATATTGATATGCAATATTATCTGATATGAGTTAAAAACACTATTATAATCTAAGACGAACGGGTTATAATGTACAATTCGTGCAAGTGATCAAAGATGTCATATTAAACAATAAATAATAATACATTTTTATGAAGTATTAAATAATTAATATTTTTCTAAAATTATTTGTTTTATATTGTTTATAAATTTCTTAATGAACACTCGTGTAATACACGGTAATAAATGTTACAACTACACATGCATTACATGATTGTTCTGTTACAACTAGTATATATTATCAGAGGTTTTATCTATATGTGCCATTATCTGCTAACCATGAAAGAGAACTCAAACGTTGAGTAGAAAGATATAATGTGATCCTAATTATATTTTGCCTCATTATTCCACTAATTTATAATTGAGATATAAAATGTTTGAAACTAGAAATTAGATTTACAATGTTAATATACGATAGGCATAGCCCAAAAGTCACCATTGCTTGATGGCAAGGTCGTAATGGCTTAAAAAACTTGGGAGAATGTTTAGTTGTATTTTGGGAAATGCTTAGAAGTAAAATATTTTGGATTGAATTTGATATATTGGATAAAGTGAGTTAATCTTAATAAAAATTGATTCGGATAAGATTAAAAGGGATTTTGAGGTTTTGTTTGAATATAAAATAAAATATGATGATTAAAATTGATATGATATTAAAGTATGAGAAAAATAATTTATAATAATTGATAGTTAAAAATATTTGAGTGAATAAATAATAAATTTTATTTAAATTGTAGAGTTAAAATAATTATATTAATATTATTTAATAGAGTTAAACTTGAGTTGAATTTTAAATTAAAAATTATCAATGAAAAAAAAAAGGTGCCAAAACAGAAAAACGAGAAATTCATTGAGCAAAAGTATATAAAAAAAAAAGAAAGAAAAAAAACTGTAAAAAGTGGTCAAAGGTACTGGCTGACAAATATATATTTTATGTATATGTAAATAAATGTGGAGTAGATTGATTGAACAGCATTGGTAGCACGTGATAACATAAGAGCTGTACAGTTTCTGCCAATGACCCATGAAATGGGTCAAATAGAAATATGTGCCACTAGGCGTGCTACGCAAATTTATATATGCATATACCATGTGCATTCACCCATAATTTGTTCTCATGTTATTGGGGCTTTTCTCCAAATTTTTACTATAACATTTTAATGCATGACCCGCATGACAATTCAGAAAATTCAAATATTTTTTTAGGTTGAAAATCATATTTCTTTCTAAAAGAATATATATTCAAATACCATATTACAAAATACAATAGAAATATAACATGATGTTTTATTGGAAAAACATGCATTTGCATAATAAAAATATAGTTCTATAACAGTTACACAATGTAATATTGTTGGAATATCGTCTGTGATTTGTCCTACATTCATTCTATAAGAAAAATAGACTTAGCTTATATGCCTAGTGCGCTCCAATCTCCAATTCGTTTTATGATGAAACCTCACTAAGGTGCAGTTTCTTATGTAGAAACGGAGCTACATGAGGCCCAAAGTGAACAGTGGGCCCCCTTCATTTTTTTTAAAGTCAATATATATATATATATATATATAATATTATAACATATGTATAAAAATACAAAAATATTTACATTACATTAATAATTAAAACTTATTTTCTATGCTATTTTAATTTAAATTAATAATATCATTTATTTATTGAAAAATATACTAACAACCCTTATATTTTACATTTCTAGATAAGTTTTGAAATATATTTATAATGATTTACTCTTTCAGTCTCTTAATTGTAAATCGATTTAGTGATTTATAAAATTGAGTATTTAGTTGGATTGTCAATGTGCTCCAAAAGTTCAATTTAAATCAACTTTTCAACAAAAAAACTTAATTTTTCATTAATTATAGATGTTGAGCTTAAATTATAATTACATGAAATATCATTTTTTTGTTGTTTATTTTTTAAAAGTTTGAGGGTGATATGTACTCTAAGTATTTAAAAATTTGATGGTAAACATATCCATATTTATATTTATAATAAATATATTTTTATATGAAATGAGTGTTTCGACTGAAACTACAAGCTCATTATTTAACATTTAAAATTTGACCCATTGAGTAAAATTTCTAGATCTGTCATTGTTCTTATGGTACGCAGCACCTGCGTGGGACAGTACCCTCTTCCCCCAATTCTTATATGGTATCAGAGTCAAGTCAACTCCGGTCTAGGTCTATATCTCTACCCAGCCTGCTCTGGGCTTGGGTTTACTCTCTACCCGACATGCTCTAGGATTAGACCTTATCTCTACCCGACCAAGGTTTGGACTTACTCTCTACTCGATCTGCTCCGGGTATGGGCCTTATCTCTACCCAGCCAGGGCTTGGGATTACTCTTTACCTGGTCTGCTCTGGGCTTAGGTTATGAAGGACTGACAAGTGAGGGGGCGTGTTGGAATATCACTTGTGAGTTGTTTTATATTGATTTTATAAGAAAAATAAGTAACTTATATGCCTAGTAGGCTCACATTGATTCTATTAAGAAAATGTGTCTAGCTTATATGCTCAGTGGGCTATTCTTCCCATCACTAATTGATTTTGGAATAGAACCTTATGGTTCCAAAATCTCACCTAAACTCACTCTCTTATGGTGAGCTACCCGACCTGTTCTGGGCTTCGGCACGAAGGACTCACAAGTGAGGGAGCGTGTTGGAATATCACCTGTAAGTTGTCACACATTGATTCTATAAAAAAAATTACTCTAGCTTATATGCCTAGCTAGTGGACTGCTCTACTTGCAGGGTGTGCGAACCCAATCCCACATCGGAAAATTAAAGGTTCCAAGTTCAATATATATGCTTGGTGTGCTACTCCTTCTATTGGCAATTGGTTTTAGAATAGAACCCCATTTGGGCTTGTATGTTGGGCTTGATTGAGAACTAGGTTGTGAGTTGTCGGTTCCAACAATTGGTATCAGAGCCATGGTTGGTAGCCCAGTTGCAATATGGATGACGTGGCATGGTCCCCGTGGAGCCGGTGGACGGCTGGTGGATCTGTGTGCCTGTGTCGAAAGTCTTCCTGGCGAAAGGGTGGTCAGGCGGCGGGTTTCGTGGGCGATAACGGCGGTACAATATGGTCAGATTGTATGAATTTTGTTCAAGGAGAGGCCCAATGTGGTCTTGTGTTTGAGGGGAGGTTTGTAGGGTGTGCAAACCCAATCCCACATCGGAAAATTAAAGGTTCCAAGTCCAATATATAAGCTTGGTAGGTTACTTCTTCTATTGCCAATTGGTTTTAAAATGAAACTCCATTTAAGCTTGTATGTTGGGCTTGATGGAGAATTGAGTTTTGAGTTGTCGGTCCCAACACCTCCAATCACCAATTGGTTTTGGGATGAGCATTATAATCCCAAAACCTGGGATGGAACCTTAATGTCCACGAATGAAACTAATTTTGTACTTGAACTTTATTTTTTAAATAGTTGGGTTTCTTACTGTAAGAAATGGGGGGAAAACGAGTGCGGTCCCACGCACGTGAAGCGCACCATAAGTAGGGAAAGCCCAGATGAAACCAAGTGGGGTTCAATCCCACAATCAATTGATGGAAGAAGGAGTAGTCCATCAATCGGTGGAAAGAACAGTAGTCCATTAAACTTATAAATTAGACCTATATTCCCTATATAAACGACGTGGGACAACTCACAAGTGAATATTCTAATACTTACAAACCTTTTCAGTTTGAAATTCCTTATGTGGCATTAAAGTGAATCCATTTTATTATTTATTATGGAGAATGGCTTTTTCGTTAGGGTGGATTTACAATTGTTTGTACATGTGCTTTGATAGTACAAGAAATTCTATTGTAATGAGTAAAATAAATTAATCTAAATGAGTGAAATACTTGTAATTCTATTTTTTTCTTATCAACACCATCAAATGAATGAATATGCNTCGGTTGATGATTCATAATAGTAATGATGAATTCTTGTAAACGAAACTTATTATCTTTTCGCCGGAAGAAAATATCTTCCCGGCCTTGTCAAATAATATATTTATTCGTTTGTTTATTCATTTCCTTCTTCATTGGCAACGCGTTATGATGATTGTAAGGAACCAAAAACAATTGAATTAATGTCATTGTTGAGATAATACAACGGTGGAACATAATCAGTTTTGAATATGGGATAGTTATATATCACTAAGACGGAATTAAATATATGCAGCTGGATGCCAATATAATTGCACAAAAACTATACTAAACTAACTAGAGAAAATAATAAAAAGGTAATGTGGAAAACAAAAAAGGCAAAAATTAGTCCATGAAAATTCCCAGGAAAAGGAAAATATAACTGCTGACTGCAACAAAATTCCTATAGCTATCAGGCAATCGAAAAATATTGTTCACCCCATTATTAGTATTCACACCCAAATATAAGTATCACTCTCACAGAAAAACAAAATTATGATTATACGCAAGCTGCAAATTTTCACAGGCTAAAATCTGGTACAGGTTACACATTTCTTGCAATGCATTAAATTTTTTAATTTACCCTA